AAAGGTGACCTTGGTGCGTTCAAACACCCATGGTTCGGGTTGGCTCGTTACACAGGAAACTCACTACCTGTAAACGGTAATTGGCGCGACCTAATGATACGTTCATGCTGACTTGCTAACTAGACACCCTGTACACCTCGCTATGAGGACTAGGTGAAGTGTGGCACGCATAGATGTTCCGCCTAACCTTTTCGGCCACTGCCTCCGCGCTCGACTCTTGACATGTTTGTACTGTTAGAGCTGAGTTTGTGAGGGTGTGGAGAGTGTGGTAGCGTATGCCTGAGTCTGCGTCACTACAAACTAGTTCACACGCAAGCCACCGGTTTTGCGCCTACTCCTTGGGCCACTCGTTGTTAAACGTCGTCGCTTGCGGCCTCCGTAACCTCGGCATCCGTATTTCTTTCGAGCCTCTTACATTTTACGCTTTCACTGTCACCTCTCGCGCTACTCAGTTTTCGTGCAAGGACGCACGCGCCTGATATGCAGTGAAAAACTGCAGAGGGCACCCATTCGTGGATATCTCTTCATTCCCCCCTGCTGATGGACTTCAGTATCGGTCCACAGACTCTGGCGGATATACCGGTTGGTTCGCAGGTTGACCTGCTTTCTTGGTTTCAACAAAGACCTGCAACTCGCATCGGCATCTCTATTCCACTAAACTGGACTATGCCAGAACATAAAGTCGAATTAATTCGGACGGGGCAGTGAATCCGTGTGTGACGCTCGTGGCCAAGGGTCTTTTCAGGTTCTATGTTCAGTCATATCCCCGGTTTTGTTTATGGAGTTAAGGAAAAGGAGCAATTAGACACTGTGGGAGTCCAGCCCATATACAAGTCTCCGCTGTCCCACCCTGCATACAGTTATGGACATTTCTGAACTCCACAGGCGAGCTACCGAGCCAAATGCATGATTATGGGACATTTAATCTTCGTTATTAGGCTCGCGAATTACAACCCAGGCAACCTGAGTAGCCTTTCATAACTCCGTTAGCCACATCCTTCCATCCAATGTTGGGCCTTGATACCACGACTTGAATAACAATGGGATTGGTGGGTGCGATTACCCTTCCGAAAGCCATTTTATTCGCTAATTTTAACCCCCTCTAGGAAGACTGAACTGTTTTAGTGCGTAAATAAGTACCTCTCTCTCAGCACAACACTTCCTGTAATCAGCAAAATATTCTGATTAAAAACCAACCGCTTTAATAGCAGTGCTGTGCAAACGGTCGTGTGCGAGCATACGCATTGCTTACTTCTCTGCTCCTGTGTGCTCCTGTGTGCTCAAATCAACCTGACGTCACGTGCCTAAGTGCGCGCTCTTTGCGGAAGAGAAAGTGATGAAAACTGCACGAGTGCACCACGCATCTCAGATCATTTTCAGTAGAATTCGAAAAAAAAGATTATGATGTTATTATAATCAATATTCTTAGTATTGTTTGCGTGCTTGTTGCAGTGGTAGTATTAGTATTAGTAGTAGTAATATTAATATTAGTAGTAGAAGTAATAGGAGTAGTAGTAGTAGTAGAAACAGTGTACATTGCGTAGCACTGCGCAATTGCAATCACCTCCGCTTTCAAATTCGCGCACAGGCGCCAAAAAACCATTTAAAAAATTTCATGTCCAACCGTTCCTGATATTTTCACAAAAACCAAGTTCTCTGTTTTTCCAATGAAAAATAAGAGACTGACAGTCAGCGGGTAATGCTTAAATCTCACTTCCTCTCCAAAACGCGGGCACCAGGGATCTTACCCTCGTGGGCTTACGTTCTTATGGCTCTCCCTCTCCACCTGCCTTTGTTCTGATTCACTTAGAGTCCTCTGAATTGAGTCAAGAGGAGGAATTCCAGCAGGCTGGACAAGCTGCAGTGAGTGAGGCAATTGTGCCTGCGCGACAAGCAAACAGCGATCACCTCCCCCACCATCATTCCAGACCCACAAAGGAGGCGGCGCCCAAGCAACCGACAGTCGTGACAGATGCGCTAGCTCTGCCCGACACCCACAGGCAGCCGTTCACTAAAATTGCCCAGTGTGTTGGCCTCCCCTCGCAGGCCATTGACGCGCAGGAGTTAGCCGCTGCCTGGATGGAACCCCACGCCATGGTTACCGTCTTCTACAATCGTCCCAATGTGAACTCCATTCTGAAGTTATTTGGCTCGTGGCTCTTTGAAGCGGCCTCCAGTGGCACTTCG